TCGTTTGGGGCGATTTCCCCTCCTCGAGGGTCGTTGGGGTCGGGCGGGATTTCCTCCGCGTCGTCGTCGACCACGCGGAAGCCGAGGGAGCGGAGGTACGGCGGGAGAAAACCGCCGCCACCCGTCGAGCACCGCGCCAGGGACGAGGTCGATTTTATTCAACACCACCACACACGGCCGCCGCGCGCGTCGGGTGAGGTAGGCGAGCAACCCCAGGTGGAGCTGCACGATCGCGAAGCGGGCGTCGACGACGAGCACGACCACGGCACTCCGCTCGACCGTCCGCCAGAGCTGCCGCCAAACCTCCACGTTCCGTTCGTAGCGGTTGAGCGAGAGCCCCGGGGGAAAGGGCGGGGTCGGCGGCGACACCCGCGCGAGGGCGGCCTCGTACGCGGCGAATCGCCGCCGCTCGATCCATTCCACCCGATCCGCCACGGAAGCGGGCGGGAGACGGGCCCCCCTGGGGCGATCCCCACGCATCGCCGTCGTTTCGTCCGCGTCGGAGGCGTGAGGAGACGTGTTTTCGTCGTCGTCCTCCTCCTCCTCCTCCGCCGCCGCCGTTTCCGTTGCGGCTTCGTCTTTGGTTTCGTCCGCCCTCGAATTGAAGGAGGGGGGGGTGGAGAGGAGGTCGATGTCCCCGTCGACGGCGGGCCCCCACCCCCGCGAGGGGATCTCGAGCGCGAAGGGAAACCACACCGTCGTTTCCTCGCCCGCCTTCGGCTCGCCGTGGTAGTGTGTGGGGCGGAACCACTCCCCAAAGGGAATCCCCTCCGCGGGCATCACGCAACGATCCTGCAGGGGGAGAAAACTCAACCGCCGCCGCTCCTCGAGCTCCGCGCGGGTTTCTTTCTGGAAAATACTCCGAATCCCCCCACGAAGGGCGTCGTACATCACCAATTCTTCCTCCCCGGTCGCTTCTTTGGTTGGGTTTTGTTGGTTTGGTTTTCGGTCCGTGCGATTTCCACGTCGGCAGGGGTCTTCGCCATCGCTGGACGTCGAGGATGCACTGGTTACATCGAACCGCCTCGATTCCCTCCGTTTTTCGTCCGTTGCGCGCGAAACGAAACCGCCGGAAGGGGGGTCGAGGAGCACGTCGTGGAGGGCCTCCTCCGCCTTTTCCCGCTCCCGCGCCTCTTTCTTTCGTACCCGCTTCGCGGCGAGCTGCGCTTTTTTCTTCTTTCCACTAAAGGGCGCCATCTTTCTTTTCTATTATTTGAAAGGAAAAAAAATGTTCTTAAAGACTCACGATAATAATTTAAATCAGACGGAACTTCAATGTGGAGGCACTTGTGTTAAACTGAAGAAGCGAACTGACTCCAGTTTATTCCCTTCCATAAATCAAGGCTTACAAAAGGAACTCGAGAAATAGGAGGTATGGTTCGTATAAAACGAGAAAAAACAATCCCACTGCATCGGAAATCCTCCTTCGGGCGCTCCACTGCGGTATTCGAAAAAAATTCATGTCATAAGCATGCGCAGTAGTAGCAGTCCGTGTGCTATTCATAAGAATAGGCTTCTCGACGCGCAATAAGTTACTTTGGAGAATGTTATAACACATTTAGGAACCCACTTTTCAGTCTCCCATTTGCCTTCGAAACGACAAACAAACTCGCACCCCCACCCCAACCCCGATCCACCTGCCCTTTAGTTTTTTCTTTTGTTTATAAATTTCCATGTATGTGTGTGTGCGTGCGTGGATGTTGGAGTTTCGTGGGATTTTAAACACTTTGAAGCATCTCTTCCAAGCCAAACAACACCTTCCGGAGCTCCCGCCCGAACATAATCAACGTCAACGTGAAGGTATGTAACCCTTCGAAATCGAGTGCCGTCGTTGGCATCACAAAGCTGTTATCGAGATGGATAAAATTCGAACTCGAGCTTCCACACGTCGAGCGGGTGGAAAAGAACGTAGAGGGGGATTGCACCGCAGGGGGATCGCTCGCCATGTGGGATTTTTCCCTTCGCGCGTTATTCGGTTCCTCGCCGTAGGGGATGCGCTTTTGAACATTTCTATCCGCGCTTTGGGGTTTAAAAATCATCGTTCTGTTGTGGACGTTCAGCACGCTATTTCGATCGGAATGCGGCGACAATTCAGCCATCATCGGGTGGTTGTCATCCCCCATCTCGGGGGCAAAACCGTTCAAATCCCCGCCACTTCTTCCACTTCCGTCTCCTCCTTTTTCGTCAAGATCCTCCATCGCCTCATCGTTCACGTATTTCTGGAGAATCATCTCGGAGATGACTTTGCGAATCACCTCGAGGAGATCGTACTCGGTGCGATCACTCATCTCCGAGCACATCTTTCGAAACTGGGTAACGCCTTTCATCATCTCCGAGCAAAGCTCCGGGGAGGGGTTCCGCACATAGAGATCGCAAACGTAGACGAAACGTTCAAAACACTCCGTTAGGTCGTTCCCAAGCGGCATCAAATTATGAAAGACGTGAATCATATCCTCCGTGAAATATCCTTTCGCGCGCATCCGCTCCCAGCTACACGCCATGGTATATAACAACACACACAGGCGATAGAGCGCGATGTGAACATCCCCCGTCGCGCGAACCGGGTAGATATGTGGAAAGATGCTAAACTCGATCGCCGCGTACTCCATAATCGATTTCGTCGAGATCACGAGGTGGAGCATTTCGAAAATGGTATCGAGAATATCCGCAACCTTCGTATCCTCTTGATCCTTGAAAAAGGCGCGTGGCATGAGGGATCGGTGGAGATCGGAGTTTTTCGCGTTTTCCTCCTCCTTCCCTCCGGTTACGTTGAAGTCAACGGGAACGATGAAGGTGTTGGATTTTTCGTCGTTAGTTTCTCTGCGTGGGGCAGGGGGGGATTCTTCGTTCTGCGTTGGTCGACGAAAGGCAAAAATCGACGCGAACCACGACAGACTTTGCGGTGGTTTTTCCTCCACAAGGTCATCCGAAGTCTCGTTGGCGGCATTCGTGACGGTGAAGTTGGAATGGGTGGAGTTTTCCCCGTTCGTTCCATGCCTTTCCTTCATCTTCAGGCGTTTTTCGGTGATATCCTTGTGGTAGGAGGCGGCTTCGTATAACAACCCCATAATTTTTTTAAACGATTGGCTTCCAAGCTTCAGGGCTTCAAGCCGCTTTTCATACAGCACCTCACCCGGGCTGAGGGGGAGGATGGAGACACTGATGAAGCAGTAGATGAAAATCGAAAATGTGTTTTGTTGAATTCGACTGATTGTGTAATCGGCCCCTTCAAAGGTGGAGCTGAGGAGCGTCACCGCGACGAAGGTGCAGCTCCCGCAGATTGGCGCCACATCGTGATTCAGCCGTCCGAAACTCATCACGAAAACCACCACGCAGATCGCGATAATCCGTGAAATGCGCTTTTTAAGAAGCGTAACGCCGAAAAAACCAATGACGGAGCCGATGAGGGTGCCAGTCAGGCGCGCCCCGCTCGCGTGCACGGCCTCCACCGGATTCATCCCCGAAACGAACGCGATAATCGTTGGCCCTGACAGCAACAGCATTTTGCTATTCACGTTGTAGAAAAAAATAACGGCAAGCAGCATCGCGAGGCTGACTTTGAAGGCTTCGATGAAAATCCGACACTCCGTCTCCGCGCGGTAGATAATCAAATTCCGAAGCAGCGTTACATTCCCACCCAGGGTATTTTTTATGGAGGTGAAGACCAAACCGAGGGTTACGCGCCAGTTATGTGCGTCCTCATGGCGGTTGACGTTGCCTTTGAAGTTATCCAGCACGTTCCAAAAATTGACAATAGAAAAGATAAAAAATGAGAAAAGAGGTAGGAACTCCTCCATTCGATGGGTATCCGAAAAGATCTCCTCTTCGTTTTCGTACAACGCGGTCTTCTGCGCCGCTTCGAACTCTTCTTGCAGCCTCTTGATGGATTTTCCAGCGGATTCGAAAAACTCGTGCGCGTTTCGTAGCGCTGTGTAGGTCTTTGCACGACTAATATTCAGCAACAGCTCCCCGGTCGCCTTCGTTACCTCCTGAATCGGCTTTGAGAGTTGCTTTTTAAAGATCCATGAGCGCTGGCAACTCGTGAGGATCTGTGGGCGCTCCTGCAGCGCGTTAATCACCCGCTCCATCGTGCGCAGATTCATCTTGAGCTTCCACAGCAGCTTCGCCTTTTCCTCCCGTACCTCATACCGCTCATAGGTGTCGAAGAAGAGGATTTCGTAAAAGCTATTCGCGTTGTGTGTTTCGAACTCCTCGATAAAGAAGTCGATCGCCCGAACAAGGTAGCGGATGTGCACCATGAACATACTTCGCTCCGTGTTGTTTTCCGCCCAGAAACAGGAGAGCATCCCGTCAAAACAGGTGGAGGTATCCTCCAAAATCCGCTCCAACGTCCGCGTGGCATCGCTCGCGGCGAGAACGGGGTATGGCAGGAGAATCGTCAACATCGAGAACGCCACCCCGGTCGACCAGTTCCCCAGAATAATAAACGGCTGCAGGATCGATTCATTCCCCGCGAGAATCGCCACGAGGGCGACGTTCAGCAGGAACAAACTCATCCGTCGGGTAATGTTGACGTTCAAAAAGGCTGACAGAAACATCAACACGACGTAGACGACGAACCACGCGATCGTGTGGTGGCCCAACTTCGCCGCAGCGCAAATCAACGCGAGGGGAAGCCACATCATCGTGGCTTTGATGTATTGCATAATAAACGCGTTCATCTGCCCAACACTCATACTCGCGGAGATGAGCACGCCGGAGAGGACGTACGTGAGGGTGAAAAACTCCCCGTTGCCGAGCTTAAAATACACCAAAAGCGCCGGAAAAAGCACCCCGATCAACGCCAGTCGTATGGAGTAGCGAAGAAGAACCCAAAAATCGCGATTGTGCAAGAAGGAGAGTTTTTTGGTGAAGGCGGTCTTGCTATGGGCGCCAGGGGGTTTTTCCATTTTAATCGGGGTGTCTTGGAGCTCGCGATGGGGTTCGAAGTTGCCACAATCGGCGGAAAGCGTTTCGTGGAGGTCCTCCCCTGCGGGGGAGTCGCCCACCCGCGGTACCGCGAAGGGATCCGTATGAAATAGTCGATGATACGCGAGGTTGCCGAAACTATCGTGGAGGCAGGGCTGCCAATCCTGCAAAATGTCGTGTTTTTTGCGTTCCCCACCCGTTGGAAAGACGCTTTTCGAATCCGACAACTCCTCCTCGTCATCCTCGCTTTTAGGGGAGCCGTTCGCGTTAGCTTTTGATTTGCGTGGTAGCATTCCTTTTGCTTGTTGTCGACGGCGTAAATAGCGCGCGTAGCGATTGAGAATGATGGGGTGCATTCGATTATTGGTGTAGACGTAGCGAGAGCTCGTTTCACGCGATGCGGTCAGGCTCCCCACGCCGTTGCCATGGAGCTGCTCCAACGAGGAGCTCACGCTACGATGATGGCAGGCGCTCTGAGGGGGGGTGCTACTCGGAGGAAACTCCGGGAAAAAACAGGTTGTTTTGTTTGCCTTTCGCTTCGCGTCATCTTTGGCCATGGTTGAAGTATAATTTCTTTTTTTTCGTCAATCTAAACGATTAATATGCAATTTTATTGCATCAATCTAAATATTTATAGATATGTATTTAAAAAAAATGATTACTATAAAACAATAACTATATAAGCGCAGTTTAAATTATTTATGGTTTATACTTTTAGGCGCTTCGTAAATGACGATAGAGGTGATAAGAAAATATGGGGAAAAGCGCATTGATGTTTTGTAATGAATCTTTGCAGTGAATAAAATAACAAGGGAAAACAAAAAGATTCTCTCCAGTATCGCACAAATGGGAAAAGTTTCAACCACACCTATATTCACCCTCTCTGGCTTATCATACAAACCAGAGGGAGAAAAAAAAGTCCACCGAACTTCCACGCAAAACAACAACAACAATAGCAGAAACGATATGAAGGAAGCCCTCTGCGAGAGCTTCGTCCGCTTTTTCTGTTAACTTGCCATCATTTCTCACCATTTCCTCACTACGTGTTTATCGTTAGTATCCTTTCATCGCCACCGTCGTCGTTTATGTTTTCCGAATCCCCTTCCTCGCGGCCGGAGAATTAGTATAATATCGAAAACAATCTCGAGCGGGTGGCAGGCCCCTTTGGATCCGAAGCAAAGAGGCTTATCAGGCACGTTAAGATCGTTTTCGTATGCGAAACCCTCTCCTCCGCGAGCTGGCGCGTTCGATTTTTCAGCGTGCTTGCCGATTCCGAGGACTCCGTGTTACCGCTGGATAATTTGCTTAATTTGACATCTTCTTTTAGCTTTGCAAGAAGCTTCTCGACGATGGCATCGGGAAAGCCCCCGCCAACCGCCCGCGTATCGACATGCTGATCAATCACTTCCATGAGCTCACTAAAGTAGGCCATGCTTTCTTCTAAAAGTTCTTTTTCAGCTTGAAGTGAATCCCGCAAAGGGGCCTCCGCTTCCTTTCCCTCGTTATTCTTTGGCAAAATCGACGAGGAGGTCTGCAGTTCGTGCAGCTTCTTCGTGGTGGTGGCGATGGCGAGGCGGAGATCCCCTTTCACGAGGTTCGCATCGACCAAAGCTAACAACCGGCGTACCTTCGCATCCCCCAGAACGGGTTCAAACTCGCGTTGGATGGATTGTTTCGCCCAGATCACGTTTTGCTTCGCGATATCCCCTAACGCGGCATAGGATCTCGCCAAAAACAACGCCTCCAGGGTTGATATCACCGCCATCGCGAGGAAGGGCGCGGATTTATAATACCTCGCGTGGAGCTCCGTATCGGAAAGGCGTCGAATCCCCATGCCGAGCTCCTGGTGGAGGTCCTGAAGCTCGCGGTGGGCTTTTTTCTTCGCCTGCTGCAACGTTTTGCGAATGCCGTCGAGGAGGTTCGCCTCCTCGGGCAGGCGAATCATATCCACCCCGGCGAGCGCGGAGAGAATCTTTTCCTGCATGAACGACGTCGAGGCGCTGTCGAGGAGATCCGCCGTCGCCGCGGAGGGGATTGGATTGCTTAGTCCGCCCGATTTAAACGCCTCTTTGTTCGTTCGTGCGAGTAAATCCACGTTCATCTCTTTTTGATAGTGCTCGATAAATTTATGGAGGATGCCGCGTAGCCGCGTGGCGGCGATATGGCCGATCACCTTGTCGATAATCGTTCCTTGCATGATAAAATAGGTGATCGGCAGCTTCGAGCGCTCGACAGAGAACGCCGAGGCGAGATTGCGGTTTTCATCCGCGTTAATCGTGCAGAGTTTTAGCCATTCCTGCGGTTTCTTTGTTTTCCCCTCGTGCGTGGAAAGGGTTTCGTTTGTCTCCTTTCCCCCTTCCCCTTGCGAAGGCGTCTCTTCCTGATGATCGCTTGTATTGCCGGAGATTTCCGAGTTGATTTCATCCACTAGCTCCTCCGTCTGGCGGAGGTAGGCAGAGCAGTTGGTGTTGCGGATGTAATACACTAAACAAATCGCCTGCTGCGATTGCAACACCTGCGTTTCGAAATTCGCTGCGTTCGTCGCGTACTGTACGAAACGCGCGGTGTGGGAGAGGGGGAAGACGTTCGCAGAGACTCCTCCCACTCCTCTCCCCGCAGGGTGCTGAAGTTGCGAGGGAAAGATCGATCGAACCGCGTGAAAACTGCCAACGCTCCACTTTTTCAGAGCCCCGCTTGCCATCCAACGCGATTTCACGGTATGGTTTGCGGGAAACCCTTGAAGTGAGCTACACCGCAACATATCGTGGGAGGTATCGTTCCCTTCTTTGATTACTTAAGGTTAATTAGCTAAGTTCTTGCCCAGGTTGACAGTCGATCTTCGATAGATTTGATTACACAAGGCCGTGATAGGACCCCAGAGATAGGGTTTCTTTTTTTTTTTTTTACCAAGAAGGGTGTTTGTGAGAGGAAATAATATGAAGCACGTTGAATAACATCAAGAAGTTCGATTTAATTGAATAAAAGGCATTTACCTTTCTCGTTATTTAAACCCCGGCGCATTAACCGATTGAGAAAGTAAACAATCGAGTATAATGAATGATTTTTTTTTCGTTAGTATTCATTCAGCGTGATAGTCATAAGACGTCTTTGAGGCATACATTGATGCCAATTATGCACGAGCCGATACAAGTGGAGATCGACTAAATTGAAAACCGAAGGACTCAAAAAGCAAGTTTAGTAATAACAACTCCACACCAATTGGCCCTCTTATCGTCGGAAAAAAAAATCAGGAAAAATGAACGAAAAAATTACCGTCTAACTTCTCACTGTTGGTTTCCCATTAATTTATGCGAAATAAATATAGCTATATAACGGAAAAAAAAAGGAAGAAGAGGGTAACGATTCTACACCGGTAAACCCACCTCACTCACTCTCTCTCTCTCTCTCTATGCGCTTTCTACTTGCTATTTTCCCATTTTCTTATATGGTGGGTGTTTTTTGATTTGGTTTAATTGGAAATGATTATTTTTGGTAAGCAACGAAAAAGAAACACTCTATAACCAATCGCTCTGATCCGCAGACCCACGGACGACCTTCGCGATGGGAAACCGCGGAACATCCTGTGAGGAAAGTTCTTGATACTGCACCGTGAGATATTTCCCGCGAAACTCATCCTGCCGCTTCCACAACGCGAGCCTTTCTTGCGTGGAGACCTTCGGCGGCGCGCTAAATCGATACCCATCCTTCGTCTCGCACACAAACGCGCCGAGGCCGCCTTTAAACTTCCCTTCCCCGGGTAAAAATCCGACGATCTTGAACTCCGCGTCGTGCATTTGTTTGTACTTCAGCAGGCCGAAGCTGCGCTTGCCGTGTTCGTACGGGAACTCCGGGCGGCGAATCATCACCCCTTCAAACCCTTGCGAGCAGGCCTCTCGCAGGACGTCCGGCATCTCCGCCGGGCGCACGCGCGCGGCAGGAACGTGATACACCCGCACCCGTTCCCCTTCCGCCGTGGTTTCCCCTTCTCCATCGTCTTTTCCCTTTTCCCCCGCCGTCGGGAGACGACCGCGGATCATTTTTTTCCGTTTTTCGTCGTGCTGATAATTGCTGATGCGTTTCGCCCCACAGACGGGGATGATTTGTTTCAGAAGTTCATACCGCGTGCTAAACGGTGCCTCCGGCGAGAGCTGCTTGCTGTACATGATATCAAACGCGAAGTACTCCAGCAGCCTCCGCTGCGCGGCGTGAATCGCCGGCGTGGAGGTTCGCAATCGCCGCCGAACGAGCCCGTTGAGCTGCTCAAAGTTGCACTCCGGGGCGAAAAGTTCACCGTCGAGCATCAACGTCGGATCGGCGCGGAAGAGCGGCCGCATCTGTGGCGAAAGGCCATGGCAGCACTCCAGCAAAATCCCCCCACGCGAGAAGAACTGCACCGCATCTTTGAGTTTGTTATAGCCGACGAGGCAGCGGATGCCGTCGATTTTGGGCGACGCGAGCAAAAGCTGTTCCTCGTCTTCCTCGCTTTTGGAAAGGAGCTGATTCTCCACCAACTCCCATCGCTGCGCGAGCATCGGCTGGATATTGCGATGCTCCCACTCGGGGTTGTCGTTCAGCACCGATTTGTAGTTCGAATGAATCATCCGGGGGGCTTTGGCGTATTGCAACGCGGGGGTTGCGGTGGAATCGCCATTTTTCCCCGTGCTTGGGGCATTTGGAAGGTTTTTTTGCGCGCGATGGCAAATCGGGCAGATACCACCGCCGTCAATAAACTTCGCGATCGACATTTCAAATTCTTTTAAACACTGCGAGCAACGCCAGACCGCCATTCGAATGCACACCGGGGAGATATTACTCGGCGTCTGCATCACCGTTCCCCAACACGGCCCCACCCAACACGCCGCGATGTGAGGAAAGGCGGATTGAAGGGTGGTGTATTTGAGTTGTTGGTAAACTTTCCGCTGTTGCGCGTTTCGATTCCGACCGGCACCGAAAAGCTTCGTGGCGTCGATCGGTTTGCGGACTTTTACCCGAAGTAGCGAGGAAATGCGGTGCATTTTCGATCCCGCGAATACGCCCTCCTCCCGCTAACACACACTCGTCGAAAGGGAACCTCGAGACGACGTATTCTCCGATGGAAGCGTCTATAATCACCCGTAGGATTCAAGTTATTGGATTTCTATGAACTTTCAGTGAATTTTATGTGTTAGAGTCTTTCTATAAATGAGTTAAACAAAAACTAAAAAAAAATCTATTTACTAGGAATCAACAAATTATTTAAAAGGAAAGATAGACAAGGACGGGAGATAGAAGAAATTTTGCGTTCAATTGAGGATTTTAATTCCCTCGCGTGTACAAATGTACACCTACCTCATGATAGGGAGGTTAAATCCAAGAAATTCTAGTGGTAATACTGGATTACTCAAAAAGAGGAAAAAAATAGAAACAAGCGATCACAATCGCGGATTCATGGTACAGGAAAAACAAAAATACAAAATATGAACGTACAGTGGATACACACGAGCTAATATATGTCTATAGTTGAAGGCAGCTGCCAATGGTCATTGCCTATTTGAATCTAATAATATTATTATTATATGATCGTATAGTATTCGTAACAATATAAGTACGAATAAGGCGCCTTTCATACCATGGCAGGATCAATCGAACGGGGGGAGTTCACACAGGCCGGGAAATCCGTCCTCCGCCCATCTTCGCGCGAGGATTCCTTTACCGGGCGCGCATTTTATTCTATTTTATTCGATTCTCATTCTTTTTTTTTCTCTCCTCCTCCTTCCCTACCTATGTGGGCGTTTGGAATCCGCGTGTTAGATCCAATCCCTTCCATCCGCCTCGCCACGGATACCCCTTCCGATCGGAAAACGCGGAATCCCGTCGGCGGTGAGCTCTTGATATTGCACCGTCAACGCCTTTCCCTTATATGCGGTTCGCCAACACGCCCACATCCGTTTTTTCTCCGCATCGCTGCTCGCGGGGGTCACGGTGAACGTCGCGCGGCCGTCCTTCGTTCGGCAAACAAACGCCCCGAGGGCGCCTTTCCACTTTCCTTTCCCTTCCACCGCGGATTCGATCACGAATTCGTCATCGCGGGTGAGTTTATACTTCAGGAGGGTGCCACTCCGCTGCCCGTAGGCGTACCCCTCGCCACGAGACGAGGCTTTTCCTTCCCGATCCCGCCAAAACGCCACGGCGTGCTCGAACCGCCGTCGCGCGATCTCGCGCGTGAGGAACCCCCCTCCTTCGGCGGCGTTTTTCCCCCCAGGGGTCGTTTGGGGTTCGTCGAGTTCCGCCTCCGGGAGGGTCGCGTAGTCGCCGGCGAGGGAATCACGGCGGATCATCAGCCCTTCATAACCGCCCCGCAGCGCCGCCCGGAGGAGCCCCTCGACGTCGCCTCGGACGCAGGGAATCGCGGGGACGACGCGGACGACCGCGTGGGGGTGATCGAGCCCGGATGCCCGCCAAATCGCGCGCAATCGGGCGTAGCGGAGGGTGAAACAGGGCGCCCCCCGCCCTTCCCACCCGTCCGCGTTCAGCAGATCAAACACGTGATACTGCAGCCGCGCCTGAAGCGCGCGGACGGCCGGGGGGCACCGCTCGTTTCGCGTGCGAACCGCCGACACCAACCGCTCAAACGGGATGGGGGGAAGGGGCGAAACGGAGGGTCGTCCGTCCGTCCCCGTCGGCCCGTCCAGGCCTGTCGTGAGAAGCCGCAAAAGCCCTCCCGGGGCGCCCCGGGGGCTCGCGCGATTCGCGGCGTCGTTGTAGAGCTCGCCATCCAAGACGAGGTGGGGGTCGCGCGCGAAGAGGGCGCGCAGGGCCGGCGCGATGTGCGCCTCGCAGCACTCAAAAAGCGTCCCTGAACGGCTGAAAAAACGAATCCCCCGCCGCGCGGGGTCGAGCGCGGCGAGGCAGCGAATCCCGTCGAGCTTCGGCGAGGCGTAAATCAACTCCGCCGGGGGGATCCGCGGCGCCGCGGCGAGGTAGGGCCGCGCGAGCATCGGCCGCCACCGGGTGAGGGGGTTCGCGTCCTCGGCGAGGGTTTCCCCTCCTCCCTCCCTTTCTTTTTCTTTTTGTTTCTCTTTCGCCCTCTTCCCCTTTCCCTCCCTTTCTCTTTCTCTTTCTTTTGCTCTCTCCCTCTCCCTCCCTTTCCCCGCCGTGGTGGAGGGCGCGGCCTCGCAGGTGGGGCAGACCCCTCCGGCCGCGACGTGGCGGTCGATTCGCCGCGTGAAGGCCGCCGCGCAGTGGGGGCAACGCCACCAGACGCGTTTTCGACACCCCGGGGAGACCTCCTCTGGGCGAAGGTGTGGGTTCGAAACCCCCTTTTCCCAGCCCTGGGCGAGGGTGGGGTGGAAATCCGCCAACGACCCCTCTCTTGGCGAAAGGGCGCGTGGTTCGGAGAGAGGGGGAACCCGTTTGCCCCGTGAAAGAAGAGGGGGAGAAGCGGGGAGGGGAAGAAAGGGGGGGGGCACCCCACCGGCCCTTCGAACCACCGCCGCCGCGGCGCGAAGAAGGGGGCCGCGATGGGGAATCAACCGCAACCAAACCCCACACCGCATGTTTCCTCAACACGAAATCCACGGATCAATCGCTATATCCTACGACGACGACTACGGCGAATACGTCAATGGATCGTCTATCCCGTCGGGTGGATCCCTTTCCGTTTGAACGGGCAGATGCTGTCGTGAGTCGGGTGATCGCCGCCGGTGAGTTCCACCGTTTCGCTTCGTATTGCCTTCTTAATGTTCCTTCGCGAGTTATTAGTCGTTCGTGTATCGTTTATCGTGCGAGCTTTATTAACCGTTTGAAAAAACGCCTAAAGCTCACAGGTCACTTATGTGTCTTTATTAATGGATCTATAATAGTAATTTGATAAAAACCATTTGAATATCCCATTGCATCGATGCATCCGATACAAAGAGAATGGAGGTAGAAAGGCAGAATAGTTCACGCGGGAGAACTCTCATGAAAGCCATTCATCGTAGACAAAACACCCATCTTCTCTCCTAAGAGAATAAGCACATTGCGAGTCTCAACCACCTCCACTGGTGCGGATTAGCATCCCTTTTCTGTACTATTATTATTATTATTCGACGATAGAGCTCGATCTCCAACTAGTTTCAAACCAACAGCAACAACAATCAAGCCAAACAAACGAAAGAATGTGATTCCATTCACCCCTCCCCCTGGTGAAGAGCGATCCGACTGAGCTGCTCATTCAGCTGCTCGATCCTCGCGTCGTCGTCGACCGCGGCGGTATTGCGGCGATCCGTCAGGTGCGAAAACGGAAACCTTAACGAAATCCGTTCCCCCGCGAAGATGGAATCCTCCGCGTGGAGAAAATAACTTCGAAGCGCACGCGCACAAATCAAAGACGACGCCAGCTCCCCTTTTTCATTATTTTCCGCCTTCATTGGAAGGCCCCTGCGGAAGATGTCGTGCATGCGCGCGTGAAAGACGTCAGGGGATGGATCGAATGGGTCCGTTTTTCCCTTCCCCATCCGCGTTAACTCCCACGAGCACGTGAGCAGATCCTCGTCGAGCTGCCTTCGCGCACCTTGAGGAGGGGGAGGAGTTTCTGTGGCGCCTTTCTTTCCAAAAAAGTCGTCGTGGTTGAGAATCCCCACGTTAAAGCACACTAAAACGAGGGAGGCGTGCAGGATGCGGAGCTGCTCCGCGAGCGTCAACCCCGCATCCACAGGAAAGTCCTCCGCCGCGTTTTCACCGCATCGCCGCGCGTCTGCGATTGCCGTTTCTTCATTCTTTCTCAAAACCCCGCCATTGCCGTGGGTTTCATCCGATCCGTTCGTCGCCGTGGAGGATTTCGACGGCGCAGCGAAGTACCAAAGGAGCGGCAGCACACGCGTCGAAAGCCATCGCGCGAGCTCCTCGTGAAGCATCGCGCAACGCAACGACCGCCCACTTTCCATATTTGCATTCGTCGTTTCGTGATTATGAAGATCGCTGTGGTTTGCCGTTCGGGTGGAGGCGCTCCGCGGGAATTCCGCCGCGGCCCTCTCGCCAAGCGCCGACAAACACACCTGCACCACCCACAGGATGAACAGCTGCTCCTTTCCCTTTCCTTCGCGTTCACTCGCAGGTGCGGTTTCGTTCTTTTCACCCTCCCGCGGGGGGGGGAGGATGTTACGATAAAACGCATCCAACGGAAGCGCGCCGCGGCCTTCCACGACCGTCGATGAGCCCTCTTCGCCCGTGCAAAAGGCGATTAAGTCGCGAATCCGCCGCCAACGCGCGCGTTCCTTCCAGGCGAACGCCATCCTTTCCAACTCGTGAAGCGGGAGGATAGCGAAGGAGGTGGCGGGATCTCCATGAAACCCCGGATTTGGCGCTTCACTATGGGAAGAAGAGCTCACAAGGTGGCTAAACGCGCGAGGAAGGAGTGCGGGGGTAAGGGTTGGAAGCCATTCCTGCAAAAACGCGTTGGAAAAGGGGGTGGAAAGGGTTTCTTGCGCGCTGCCGAGGTCGACCGAGGTGGAAAATGCCGCCGAAAGGCGGTTGCGATGGGTTCGTATGCGAGCGGTAGTGCTACCACGACTCCCCACACATCGGCGTATCCATCTATTCATATAGTCCTTTCGATTTATGAAGGAAAGACTTTTGCTTTCTTTTATTTTTATGTGGAAGGGGTGTATTTTATTTGATATTTTTCAAAAAAAAGTGTAGAAACGCATGCAAAAACGTTTTACTTTTGTCTTGTACTGCATATGCGAAACGAGAGGAAATGCACACATCACATGGGACGAAACATCAGGCAAGATTTAAGCAGATCTCTTTCATTTCTTCGTTTGCCATGTCTGTTATCGTACATGTTGTAGGTATCCGACAACACACGCAATGTACCTACCCCCACCCATTATTAAATGAGTAGGTATCGAACGATCGAGAGACCCCATTACCGCTCTCACTCTTTTTACAAACAAACACTCCTACACAGCACCAAGAGGAAGAGCATCAATCAGCCCCCTTCTTTTTCCATCCCAAACACGCATCGTCAGGGATAAAAACAAACAATATAAATATGCAAATAAATACTTTGACGTGTGGTTTCTCGCTAAACCTGATACTTTGACTTCGGTCTCGTTCGTTTCCCAACCGTCTTCCCCCCTTTGCTCGATTTCGCGGCCTTAACGAGCTGCTCCGAGAGCCTGCCCTCAACGATGTCGGCTTTCTTCGTTTTGCTGCTCTTCAACTCCGGCAACATCCCGACGCGAATCATCTTCGCGAACGGCAGATTCGCTACCGCCGCGAGTTTATATCGACGAAACCGAAAACGCTTTAAAATACGGTGCTTTTTCATATGAAAGCGTCGCGCAAGCCAACGGGAGGAAGGGTAAGGGTAGTTTCGCGGTGCGAACGTCACCTGCCCGTAAAATTTCTGCGCCCATCGACAGGAAAGATCCTCCAAACCGCGTTCCCCGTAGCTGCGGGGAGGAAGGGGAGGGGGGTTTGTTTCCCGCGCGATTTCAGCCTCGTGAATCGCCCCAAACCCCTCAACCGGGCGCATCGCGACGTCCGTGGCGCCGTCGATTCGTCGTCGGAGGGAAATCGGGCGGTGGTTTTGATTAAACCGCGTGATCGTCGTAGGGGGGTCGATAAAACTCTCCCGCATCGGCGAAGGGGATTCCAGCATCGTCGTAGGAGAAGGCAGCGGGTTCCGCCACCCTCCCATCGCGGGCGTCGGTGGGAAGGGAGCGCAGCAATAATTTGGAGAAAACTTCGAGGAGAGCGGGAGCGCCCCGCTGCACGCGAGGAGGACCGCCGAACAGCGCCGCATGAGGGTTTCTACGGCGTAGGGGTTTGACGGGATTGTTTCTATTTGCTATTTCCAAGGTCGGAAAAAGGGGGCAAATGACCTTTCTCGGATAAATTCCTTCCGTATTAGCTTTTTTTTGTCGTTGTTGGTGGTGATGATAAGAGTATATTAGAGAAGTATATGTGATGACATCCGTCGTAAGAGGTAGAAAAGGTTATACTAAGTGAACCCCTTAGTCAGCGAAGCTGCAATACAAAAAGTAGGGAAGATTTAAACCAGTACATATCTGTATATCTATATATAATATAGAATACTTATTATTATTATTATCATTGAACAATGGATCCACCATATTCGCTGACATATCAACCCCTTCCCCTAAAAGAAAGCCGAGATTATATGGCCCTTAAAATGTGTATAGGAAACAATAACGTACAAATTGACTTTCTCTGAGACATTTCCGTTTCCTTTTTATGTGAAAATAGCACTGTGACTTGCCTTTAATGTATCCAAAATTTCCACTCCGACACCTTTTATTCTAAATAGGATGGAAAAGAAAATGCCAAACAATTTATTCAAAATTTCTATTTGTATCGCTATTTTTCTTTTTCATTTTTAAAATTTTATAGATAGCATATGGATAGTCCATACACAATGAAAAAAAGTAGCTAGCCTATTGCAAATAAACAGCGACCGCAATAAATATAAATAGTTGTTTATTTGCAATAAAAAGGAGAGTAAAAAAAGACGTAAACCAACTTGTATCGTACCATCCATGGAGTATATTGCCACTTGTAGATGTGTACAATGCGAATCAAGTAATACCCGATTAGTCGCTTGATATTATTTCATTCTTTTACCCATTTCCTCATGCCCTCCAATTTGTTTCTGTGTATATTCATTTTGATAAGAAAAGCATCAGAAAAACAAATATTAAAAAAACGTACAGTAATGATGGAAAGGAACGACTTGATAACGCATAGGAGCTTGATTATTTACATTTGAAAATTGCACCAGAAGATTATATCTCATGATGTTCCCATGTATCCATCGGTCAGTCACCCACTCTACAAAAAAGTGTTCCATGTGAAGCCGTAGCCGCTCGAATGTACGAGTAAACAGGCTCCGATTCAATAGGCTCTACAACTCTTGATAATGAAGTAAAAACTTCACACAGGTGCAAATCTATTTTATGATTCACTATAACCCCGTAAGGTAACGAAGAAAAGAGATGAACCGAAAGAAATACTAACACCACTTGTCGTATGCGAAGAATAAAGCAAAAAAATAAAAGCATACAACTGTTGTGGAAGCAACTAGGTTATATAACACGCCCACGATAATGGAGAATAGCATCAATAAGGGTTTTTTATGATTTCCAACAGTGTACTCCTTTATCGCATCGGCTTTACCTGAATCCAAAGAAAAAAGGAACACTAATGGGTGAAACGCCACACATACATGCGCATAAGGCGCTCTTTTTTTACCTTGTATTCTGATGTCCAACCTCTCTAGTGCATTCACTAGATATTTTTTATAAGCGTGTACATCCCCGAATTATTTTCTACCTACGTTAGCAAGTCTTCTCGTCGACCAGAAAGAGCCCAGGCTCCTCCATTTCTGTGAGTTGATCGGACAATGGTGAAGGGAGGAGAGGGGGGGGGGGGGTAGAGAGAGAGAGAAGCTATTGCACACGTCCAGAGTTCATTTGGATGCGTGCGTGGCGTCATTTTCCCCCTTTTCCTCTTCCTTTGGGTTTTTATTCCTTCTACAACACACACAACACCGAGAAGATCATCAGCAGCACGACCAACACCCGCGTCCACCACACACGACGCTGCTGCTCCGCGAGGCGCTCGCGTTCGCGCTCCTGCGCGCGCCGCAGCGTCGAGCCCGGGTGGGCGTCGCTCGCGAGGGTTTCCGCACGCGTCGCGAGGCGCTCCGCCGAGGCCGCATTCCAATCCACCCGGGGAAACCACCGCGCGAGAAATTCCACGACGGGATCGATCACCGGCTGCGCCCCACGCACCACCCACGCGATTCCACTCACGCACCCCGCGAAAATTAACCGCGGGAGGTGAAAGACATGCGCCTCGAGGTTTTTCAACCCTTCCCGCGCCGGGGGGTTCACCCACGCGCGAAACATCAAATACCCCTGCACCACCAGCGAGATCACCACCGCCCAGGCGTAGAAGTAAAACGCCTTGTACGCAAAGGTCACGAAGGGGTTGATGCGGAGAACGCGGTTGTAGAAACGAGGGTTCGAGAGCTTCACCGTCATCAGATCGCGAAACTTCTGCTCGCTGTCGTAATTCCCGCGAATTTCCACGCGTTCCTCGTCGGGGAGGGCGTTACTGGTGGTGGTGGGATTGGCAGAATCCGTGGATTTTTCCGCCAGGGCGTCCTCGGCTTCCTTCCATCGTCGTCGCTCCTGCGCGAGGAATTCCTGCAGCTTTCGACTTGCCTTGTGGTGCATCGGATAGCCATCCTCGAGGACGTTCGCTGAGGTTGTATCGGCGCTTAAAAAACCCCCAGGGGCGCCGAGGGTGGCGGCCGTCCACCCGCCAAACCCCCGCTTGCGATAAGCAGGGAAAAACAGAACGTTTCCCGCCGCATCGAGCCCGAGAAAACGCGGGAGAATGCGATAATGAGTGAGCCCCCAGAAATGAACCTCCAACATCCGATGCATATCCCCCCCACGGCGGGAAGGGAAGAACAGGCGCCAAGGACGCACTAAAGAGGTCCGTGTGAGCATCAGAGGGGTTGGGTTCGTCTTCTTTTTTTCCTTGCAGCTCAATCAATCAATAGATAAGTCAATAAATAGATAACTGGATATGTATAGATAAATATATAGGCAAAAAGACCAGTGATAGGGTCGACTGGCGGGATTATGGATTAGACAGGAAGGGGGGAGGAGGCGTGGGGAGATGATGGGGTGAAGTCGCCAAGCGATCGGAGGAGCGGCGCGACGCGGAGTGAATCGTCAGATGGGGATGAACTCCAAACAAAAAGGAGAAAAAAAGCGAATGATGGCCTCAGCTTTTTCTTTTAATGGATATGATTTTGACTATCTTTTTTTATAATAGAAGCTATCGACGAAAATATATCTTCCATTATGTTGGTTGATAATCGTTTCAATAATAGTAAAAAAATATAGAGACAAAGCGGACCATACAAAGGGGAATAATTTTAATTCCATGCACGCATCAATAAACTTCGGAAAGAGAAGAATAATAAAATGAACGAGCTACAAGGCTTAAGACACCGTCCTCTCGGTTAACCAAATGGAATATCATGGAAGGCTATGTTATACGATTTAAGCGGTCCTATTAACTTCCTTATTTTAAAATTTTCAACTTATTTCACCCCTCACATCACCTTGGCTTCGAAAATGAATACTTGCTGAACTTCCTCCAACCCAACAAACCCAATTGGAGCATGAAGGGAGTGCGCATTTAAGAGGTAGAGGTGACGTTTGTTTAGTTTAATTATTTATTTATTGCATCACTCCACACGCGCACAACCGCCCATTCAATCTCAAAATTTGTTTTTAAAAACCTCCTATCTATCTCACTTTTACTCTATTGCAGAGCCATTTTTCATCTCTCTTCCCTCTGCTTATATATATATATAAAGAACGAAAAAGAGTGTGTATATTATCAACGCATCCCATCAAATGGTTCGGGTTAATCGATTCGAACCCGTTTACCCTTGCGCGATTCCCTCTGATCGTCCTCTTTGTCGCCAAATTTTTGCTGCTCCCGCAGGAGCGCTTTCATGTGCTCACCCATGCCATCCCCTTCATCCTCGGAGGACGATTCGGAAGGGTGGGGGGGGATTTCATCCTCGTCTTCCTCGTCTTCCTCCTCCTCTTCCTCTTCCTCTTCCTCGTCGTCGTCGTCTTCGTAAGCCCTCTCGGAGGCGTCTGAATCCACCTCATCGCTGCCCTCCGTGAACTCCGCGCTGTTATCGCTGTCGTCGCCGAGCGGCGCGCGACGGGTGGCGTCGGCATCGGACGGCAGCTCCGGCAGCATCGCCGCGGTGGCGCGCTCACCGCGTTTTTTCTTCCGCTCCCGCCGCCCCGCCAGTTCACGGATTTCGCCCGAAACGGATTCTTCCTCTTCCTCTTCCGCCTCGGCCTCGTCGTCGTCGAAATCGTCCGGATCCTCGCGATCGGCGTCGTCGCTTGCGCTGCTGCTGCCCAGACTCATCGCGTCGAGGTCGTCGTCGTTGGGGGGGGCGGCCTCGCCGTCGAGGGTTTTCCGCGCGAGCGCGGTGGCCTCGCGGAGGAGCGCGCGCGCGCCGTCGCGTCGAGGGTGCGCCCGCGCGAGGCGGCTCGTCACGCGGACGACGTAATGCGCCCGCCGGCGCGCGCTGTGGACCTCCGTGAACATCGCGGGGAAGAGGATGTCGTCGGGAACGACCGCGGCGTCCGGGGGGGCGAGGGAGGGAGTTTTCACGCGAGCGGCCCGCCACGCCGTCAGATCCGCCCCCGCCGGCGTCATCTCCAGGTTCGACGACAGCATCTTCCGCGCGCGATTCACGAAAAGATTCCGCTCCGACGGGCGAACGGCGTCGAAGATGGAAAGCCGCCCGTGCAGCATCGCGAGCTTGTCGTACTGCCTGCACATCTGCCGGTATTGATGCAGAATCGGCGCGATGAAGTCCTTCGGGAGGGATTCCACCTCCCGCGCGATCGCCGGATCCGGGGTCCCGGGGGGATGGGAGGCCGGCCCGTCGCCGGGGTTTCCTCGCCGCCCTGCCGAACCCTCCCGTTGCGCGAGGAACATCTCCACCCCACGGCATTCCACGATCGTGTTAATCCACTCCACGGCGAGCGCGCGGCAGGAGAGCGGGGCGAGCGCGACCCCGACGACGCGTCGCGCGGGATTCGCGTGGGGGGAGG